ACATGATCAAAGAGTGAAACGCTCCTAGATTCAAAGTCCAGTTGTTTTCGTTTCTCTCCCTGTTTGAAAAAATGCTGTTCATCAGGGGATCAAAGAGTGAAACGCTCCTAGCAAAGCCTAGTTCTCTTTTTGACTCCGCCACAGGTCTGCACAGTGTATGGAGCCAGCTTTTGTGGATCTTAAAAGCATGGATGCTCATATCTTCAAATTGACGAGCTTGCCTGGACGACCATCTGCTACACATGTGCCAAGATGTTTTTCAACGAAGCGCACAAAGCCGTGGGAGAGCTTGTTCGTCAATTCTTCATCTCCCGGTTGCTTCCCATCCATCTTCATTTCTAGCCACTGCATGTAGGACTTCTTCTGTAGCGTGTGGTGCATCGGGGCAGTGCTTTCCGTCAAGTAGTGCAGGACAAGCACGTCACGCAGCCGCAAGAGGTGCCGCTTGACCTCCTGCTTTTCATTGGGATCCATGTCTGCACAACTCATATCCCACTCCTTGTGTGCAAACAGACACTTTTCCAAGACCGTCTCTTGTTTCTGTGACCACATCTCCATGAGCTCTTCATCCTCATGGAGCAACTGCAGCAAAGGCGCAAACGACATTGCAATTTGCAAAGAGGACGGATGACAAGGGACATGAACATGGCTCAGTGGAACAAAAACCAAGGTGCAGCCATGCATGCATTCGAAAAATTCTCACTCCCTTTTAACGAAGAAGCTTTGCACGCTATCTATCTACTCAAATGCCCTGTCAGAGTTGCGGGGCTGACGCCAACAGCTTTCTTGCAGTAGTCACAGATGATTTGCTTGTCCAACACCAGTGGGGCCCCTCCTCCACCTGCGTGACCTCTGCTTTGACTATGCCTTGGACTTCCTTGTCTTCCTCCGTTTTGACAGTTGTTCTTCTCGATGCATCTGGACTGGATTCTGACAAACTTCTGCGTGCTTTTCGTCGTCTTGGATCTGAACTGGAAGACTGGAAGACTAGCCCATGAAATGTCAAAGGCATGGTCACGGCGCTCAGTTAACATGCTCTTTTCACCTGTTGCTGGCGCTTTCCCATAATGTGCTTTATATACGGTCTTCGAAATGTCGATTTAGGGTAAATAGCTCCATACGAGTTTCTTTTTGGGGCTTGAAAACGCTAACCCCTAAACCCTAAAATCATTAATCCAACCCCCGTAAACTTTAAGGAAACCTTATAAACCGCTCGAACAGACCAGGCTACGTGGATTTGAGGTCCACGAGAAAGCGTTGGCCGTTCACGTCCTTCGGAGGTGTCGAGGCCACTGAGGCAAGAACTTTTCGGGCCCTTGAAGGGTTCCTATATTCATACCAGTGGGTTCTATAATCAAGTAAACCCTAAACCCTTGTGGTATTCTTATTATAAGATCTTATTATAAGAATACCACAAGGTTTTAGGGTTTACTTGTAGGGTCGGGGGAAGTAGTACGTACGTACATAAAACTAGAGTAAACAGTCACCGACATCTGATCTAATTGGGATTTGCGTAGTTACAACCCGGCTGAAGCACTACCTACCCTTCCAAGTAAGGATAGCTGCAGGTTTAAGGTGGGCGATGCTAGAGGTTCACAGTAGGGTTTGAGCATGTTGGTTCACTTTGACTGACCTGTTTGACACCGCCGAGCTTACACACCGGGTGTGCAACACCAGACAGATGACTTACCAGAGTGAGGCCAGATGTGTGACATCCTTCGAAGGCCCGCACGGCTGCCATGGGAACTCGAAATCCACTCTCTAAACTCCTACACTCGAAAACCCGAAACAGTTAAACCCCAAAACCGTAAACCCCAGAACCGTCGGAAAAAACCCAAAACTTCCAAAACCCTTTAGCTTCAGCGCATGGCCTGCAAGACGGCAGCGTGCACACGAGAAACGAGCCTCCCGCCGGAGACTCCGAAAGCTTTGCTATTGCTACTGCTACTGCTACTACTACTACTACTACTACTACTACTACCAGTACTACTACCGGTATCGGTACGCGACACCTGAGTAACAGGAGCTTTCATCTGATTCGCACAGGTGGGGCGCGGCCTTGTTACATAATTGCCAGAAGCAGCACGAGTGATGTAGGCGCCCTGAGATCTTCTTCCTAAATCTTACCCGAAATCACAATTGCTTTTCGCCCTGATAAACCCATTACATGGGAACCTTAGTCAGTAGACTAGGTCTTGCGGGTATATCTTTCTGCAATGTAATCCGGTGCAACATCTGCCGCAAACTTTAACCACGAGCCAATTTTCATTTGTAGTGTTTCCGACCTCATCTCACACCCAGAACCCAAACCTTCTTGCTGCAAAGATGCTCTCCCTTGACTTGGAAGTCGGCTGTTTCCTTGTACCAAGACAACATAATTCTTGTTACCCCATATTGATCAGGGGTCACCTAATTGCTCAACTCCAACTTAAAAGTTCTCCTGTGCTATGGTATGGCAAAGCTGGTTGGGTTTAAAGCTGAGAATTGAAGCTGGGAAGCGAGTCTGGGGCAAGGGATCCAGGGCGACGCCGGGATTGAGCCCTAGACGCCCAAAAGCCTCAAAACCCCAAACTCAAAACCCTAAAAGCACCAACTCAAACCCGTAAACCCTCAACCCTCAAACTCAAAGCCCTAAAAGCACCAACTCAAACCCCTAAACCCTCAACCCCCAAACTCAAAGCTGTAAAAGCACCAACTCAAACCCCTAAACCCTGAACCCCCAAACTCAAAACCCTAAAAGCACCAAACCCTCAACCCCCAAACTCAAAGCCGTAAACAACAAACCCTAAACCCTAAACCCTAAACCCTAAACCCTAAAACTCAAAGCCCTGCCCCTGAGGCCCAAAGCCAGCGTGAGCCACGTCAAACCTCCGAAACCTTGAGTCTGCTTAACATACCCCAAACCCTAAACCCTAAAGCCGTAATAATTAGAATAGGGCTCCTTTAAGGGTTCCTTTAAAAGGGTTCTTATTAAAGGTATTATAAGGGTTTTCTGTAAGTAACCTGTAAACCCCTTAGGCGCGTGTAGGGCTTAAGGTTTAGGGACAAACCGAAAGACTGAGATTGCTTGGGGCTCCTGGACGGTTTAGGATTTAGTGTTTACGGCTTAGGGTTAATTAAGGTGTTATGGGTTTAGGGCTTAGGATGTAGGGTTTAGGGTTTAGGATTTGCATTTGGTGATTATGGAGATTATGGGAAGTTATGGAAGTCTGCTTCACTGCGAGCAGCGTTGCGGCCGATGGTGTAGACGGCTTTGTCCAGCAAGTCCCAGCTGGAGGGCCCGGCCTTCTAAGAGGCCTAAACTATGGGTCCCTAGGGTTCCTTGAACGATTTAGGGTCTAGGGATTTAAACCCTGCATTACCTTATAAGGACCCTAAACTATGGGAATGATGGTATATTCCTTATTCTGGGTCATGCAGGATTTGTATCATCAAACGTAGGATTACGGGGGCCCTTGAGGGATATAGACCGCCTCAATAGGGTCCCTTCTAGGAGAGCCAGATGTGGGGTTAAGAAGGGTCCCCTTTCAGGGGTCTCCCTAATACTACCTCGGAAAAGTAGGGTTCAAGATGGTGGGGGGCTTGGTTTTAGGGGTTTGCTTCAGGCTCCGAACCCAGAGACTCTAATGTCCCTTAATGAAGGAATATACCTTGAATGATAATAGGATC